AGAGGGCCGGGAGAGATGCTTAGCAGTTAAAAGCACTGGCTGCTCTTGCAGAGAACCTGGGTTCAGTTCCCAGCACCCACATGGCAGCTCAGTCATCCATAACTCCAGTTCCAGGGGTTCCAACGCCCTCTTCTGACCTCTTCAGGCATTGCATAATACAGGTACACTTACATACATGCAGGCAATACTCTCATACACATAAAATGATAAAAAGTAGAATATTTTTAAAATAGAAAATTTCTCAGCATTCCCACAGGCACCCACAGGCCAACCTGATCTAGGAAATCTCTCATTGAGAATCCCTTTTCAGGTGATTCTAGATTGTGTCGACAAAACTAACCTTCACAGGGGGCAACCTAGGTGTGTGTGGAGGAGACAGAAGTATCTGTATGCAGATGGAAAGGAAGGAGTGGATGAGGCAGGGTTGGATTTTATTATAAAAAATTATAATAGCATGCATGCATGCACTTGTGCACATGTGGAGGTCCGAGGACAGCTTCTGAGAGTCAGTTATCTTCACTTCTAGGGATGGAACTCAGATCATCAGGCTTCCACAGCAAGTGCTTTTACCTTCTGGGCCACTTTTGCTGGCCCAGAGGGTCAGTTTCAGTTAGTTGCCAGCTAGCCCCTAAAGGCCAAGCTGTGTTTGGGGTGACGCTGGGGGCTTAAGCCAAGTACCACCCAGTCTCTGGGGAGATACAGCAACCCCTAGGCATTCCCTGCCCGTGGCTTTGGGGATGGGCTAAAGGCAGGGATAGGTTTGAGATGCCCAAATATGTGGGAGACAGAAGAGCAAGCAGGTTTATGGAGCAGAGCTTCAGGGTGCTAATGGTAAATGGCCTTGAACACCAAGTGCAGGCACTTAACTCACGGTGGCTGAGTGTAGGAGCAATGGCATATCTGTGAGTGGGGAAGATGCGATGTGGTTGGTATAGGAAGTAGAGAAATGACCTCCTAGAGAGAGGCAGAGAGGGTGGACAAGGGAGGGCAGCAGATGTTTTCAGAGAATGGACAGGAAGTGATTCCTAGCTCATAGGAATCCCATGGCTGCAGGGAGAGTTGGGGTTGGGTGGAGGATATTTCCAGAGAAAGCTCTGGCTGCCCTGGGCTTCACTAACTTCCAGTATCCCCACAGGAATCATCTGCTTGCTCAGTATCTATGGGACTCACCACAACCCCACAGTGTGGCCTGACTCCAAGGTGAGCTCCTGCCTCCACTGTGTTCATGGCTCCACCTTCCTTAGAAGGCACCTGGACAGCAGAACTGCCTGCAGGGACTGTGCCCTGACTTTCCCCTGATTCACTCAGTCCTTGCTAACTCAGGAGGCCAATGAAGAGTCATTGCATACCTACAGTGTACCACACAGTGCTGGGAACATTTGACCAGCAATTGACCCACACTGGCTTTGTCTTCATGGAGTCTCAAGTTCAGAGGGCCACAAGCCAATAGAGTAAATTTAGACATTGCTAAATGACGCGAAGAAATAAAAACAGGTGGGGTGAGGGGCACTTAGCTCAGGTGATCAGGAGAGGCCTTGAAGACCAGGGAGATATTTGAGCAGATACCTAAAGGGTTTGAAGAGCAAGGAGAAGCCTGTTCCAGAATGTGGAGACATAAGTGCAAAGGGTCTGAGATGGGCATGAGCCTGGGGGCCTGACAACAGCAGGGAGGTTGGCTGGTTTGTAGTGAGTGGGATGGACTCAGGTAGCCCTGAGGCCCTGTGCTGCATTGGTCCTCAGAGGTTGAGGTGCAGCCCAGGGTGGATGGCTGGACGGCTGGACGGCTGGACCAGCCCCCAGACTCACCCTGGCCCTTCCTGTCTAGGTGTACAACCCTTACCGCTTCGACCCGGACAGGCCGCAGCAGCGCTCCCCGCTGGCCTACGTGCCTTTCTCAGCAGGTCCCAGGTAAGGCTCACTCCAGCCTGGTCATAGAAGGATGGGCAGGGCCAACAGAAGGTCTTGGGTGTACCCATCAGAATCAGAGGCCACGCCCCACTCACATATAATTTCCGGCAACCCAAGTCCCCATTTCACCCTGGATAGAACCAAGACGTCCCAAATCAGACTGCAGTCTGGGAGAACAGGGCACGCCTACTGTGTGCCAGACCTGGGTCCTGGGCTCACATGCTTCTGACAGCTCTGTGATATTTTTGTTCCGGTTATACAAATCAGGGAATCGAAGCTCAGACAAGCGCAGTCATCCTTCAGGACGCACCGCTTTTAACCGGCTGTGTCAGGATTTGAACACTTGACTCCAGGGTCGCAAGTCCGTAACGATTCTTCTCCCCGTAGGAACTGCATCGGGCAGAGTTTCGCCATGGCGGAGATGCGAGTGGTAGTGGCACTGACGCTGCTGCGCTTCCGCCTGAGCGTGGACCGAACGCGCAAGGTGAGGCGGAAGCCAGAGCTCATCCTGCGCACGGAGAACGGCATCTGGCTCAACGTGGAGCCACTGCCCCCCCGCGGGCCTGAGCGTGCCGGAAGCTGCTTGTCCCAGGCTCCAGGCCCCGCCCACGCAGAACAAGCCCTGCCCACTCCGGATTAGACCACGCCTCCAACGGTCTGGCCCCGCCCCGTGATCCTGTGGGTGTAAACCAGTTCGAAAGTCCTGGAGGACAAGGTTCTGAGGAGCAACCCGTTGGTGCTGGCCACGCCCCTCAAGATAGAGCCCTTCCCCCTTGGGATCTGCTCCCGCCCCTTGAGTTCAAGATACCCCTTCTGAGTTACCCTCACCTGCCCTTCTGCCCCAGGATCCCACGGATTGGCATCCTCAGGCCCTGGTTCCTACCAATTCATGTTTCCAGGCATGGCCCACAGAACCTTCTCTGGACCTAAGACCCACCGCTCGGATTGGAACCCACCTTCCCTCCGGCCACGCTCAGAGTGGCTTCTAAACTGAGGTTGGGGCCTGAACCCCGACGTCACTTTCCTGAGGACCCCCTCCTCCCCAGCTACATGGAAGGACTGTTCAAGCAGCACCCCAAGACTTTGGCTTTTTGCTTTTGTTGTTTTATCCCAGATCCTCGCAAGCGCCTTCCTCCTTGGTCAAAGTTCCTTTGCTGAGTGTTCTGATTTTTGAGAATAAACGCAAGGGGACACAGACACCTACCCCTCACCCCCATCCCAGGCCTGGAGCCCGAGTAGGGAGGAGGGACCCTAGACTGTTGGGAAGAGACCGAGGGAAGCGGTGTGTGGCCAGGAGGCTGGGAGGGTGTTCTGGAACTGTAATCAGAACGGGGGGGGGGGGCGGGTT